TTTGTGAACCTCCATGTGCAGATTTCGTGGCAGGCGCAGCACTTTGTGAACCTCCATGTGCAGATTTCGTGGCAGGCACAGCACTTTGTGAACCTCCATGTACAGATGTCGTGGCAAGCGCAGCACTTTGTGAACCTCCATGTGCAGATTTCGTGGCAGGTGCAGCACTTTGTGAACCTCCAGGTGCAGATTTCGTGGCAGGCACAGCACTTTGTGAACCTCCATGTGCAGATTTCGTGGCAGGCACAGCACTTTGTGAACCTCCATGTGCAGATTTCGTGGCAGGCACAGCATCTGGGGAGCTGGAAGCTGAGAACTGGCGACTTTGTAGTACAACTTTAGTACGCGGAGTATCTGGCGAGCTGGACGATGAGAACTGGCGACTTTGTAGTACAACTTTAGTACGCGGAGTACCTGTGGGCTGGAAGCTGAGAACTGGCGACTTTGTAGTACAACTTGAGTACGCGGAGCAATCTGTGCAGCTAGAAGCTGAGAACTGGCGACTTTGTAGTGCAACTTTAGTACGCGGAGTATCTGTGGAGCTGGAAGCTGAGAACTGGCGACTTTCCTAGTACAACTTTAGTACGCGGAGCAATCTGTAGAGCTGGAAGCTGAGAACTGGCGACTTTCTAGTACAACTCTAGTACGCGGAGCAATCCGTAGAGCTGGAAGCTGAGAACTGGCGCTTTCTAGTACAACTTTAGTACGCGGAGCAATCTGTAGAGCTGGACGCTGAGAACTGGCGACATTGTAGTACAACTTTAGTACGCGGAGTATCTGGCAATCTGGACGATAAGAACTGGCGACTTTGTGGTACAACTTCAGTATCTTCAGTACGCGGAGCAATCTGTGCAGCTAGAAGCTGAGAACTGGCGACTTCGTAGTACAACTTTAGTACACGGAGTATCTGGCGAGCTGGACAAGGAGAACTGGCGACTTTGTAGTACAACTTTACTACGCGGAGTATCTGTGGAGCTGGATGATGAGAACTGGCGACTTTCTAGTACAACTTTAGTACGCGGAGCAATCTGTAGAGCTGGAAGCTGAGAATTGGCGACTTTGTAGTACAACTTTAGTACGCGGAGTATCTGTGGAGCTGGATGGTGAGAACTGGCGACTTTCTAGTGCGTGCGTTTGACTGGAGGACGCGCATGTTGGAGAGAACGTGGACACTCCTATAGGTCAATTTCTTCTTTTAGGAAACTTCCACCGCCGGCTTGCCCGGGAACTACTTGTACTTCGTGACTTCTCACTTCTACCCTCCAGCACCCCCACCCATGGAAAGGCTGCGAGGAGCGCTCACACATGTCCGCAAGTTGGTTGCTTGAAAGTCGAGTCGGAGGGGCAGGAGCACCCGCGATCCAGGAGACCCAATACTTTCAGCCCAACCGCATTGTCTACTACACCCCTTGCATCGAGACAGAGAAGTATTTTGGCAGAATCAGGTGGCTGAGAGGTTCCAAAGCCGTCCGAGCATCACTGACTTTCCACGAAGGGAAAGCAGGGCAGCGTAGCCCGAACTTAAAGGAGATCTTGATGGTTGAAGCACTGAATCACCTCAGGAGAAGTTGCGCAATTAGTTTTTTGCTCGGAAGCTTTGAGAATTGTTGAACTCTAGTAGATCTACTGGCAACACCCTGCTCCTCTGAAGTGTATTTTTCCCACTGGATGCATGGGAAGTGGAGCACGCTATGATTTCAAGGGCATGCTGGACAAGACCAAAGGGGGGGGCATGCGACTCTACAGCCTCCTGGGAGAAAAAAGATTTGCAAGCTGATCACGCATGCAAAAAGAGAATGGTTTTGAGGCATGGCAAATCCTATTCCGGGAGCTGCAGCCTGCAACCAGCGCCACAGCACTGGCTGTCACGGATACAGTTTGCAAAAGGGAGGACGGTGTCAGAGCAGTTTCCACACTCTGGCCCTCATCAACGAGTACGAGGGACCGTCTCCCAGGACATCAGTACTCAGTACTCATGCGAATGCACTGCTAGAAGACGCATGTCGGATGCACTGCCCCAACTGCACTGAACATCAAGACTTCTAACCACTTCGAAAACAGAAGCATACAGCGGCTACAGCCGGAACGCCGTTCAAACAGCCGGAACTGTTGCCAGAACAGCATCGAGCAATGACGCTACACCCATGGAAGCCGATGACCTTGGAAACTGCCGCGACAAAGCCAAGCAAGGCGGCAACAGCAGCGCAGGACAGGATGGAAAAGGGAACGCATAAGGGCAACAACAAACGAAAACTGAAGTTTCTGGAACAGTTCAGAAGGCAAAACAACCTCGGGGAAAGGCCCTGAAAAACAAGGGCCAATCG